CATCCTAACCCTTCCATCCCACCCCTTCCAGTCTATCCCTTCCATCCTACCCCTTCCCATCCCACCCCACCCATCACACCCCTTCCATCCCATCCCTTCCATTCCATCTTAAACCTTCCATCCTATCCCATCTCTTCCCTTCCAATCTTTCCTACGCCTTCCTTTCCAATCCCATCCTATCCCACCCCATCCCATTTCTCCAAGGACATGGAGCAGAGCTTGGGATGGGAGAGCCAATGACATCTCAGGGGTAAGAGAACTGAATCTCCAGTACCGCACAAACATCCCTCCTCCATCCATGTCTTGGGTTCATGGTGACAGCATCTCCCTCAACTCCCATGTGCCCACCTGGAGACCACCACCCAAACCCAAGTGCCAGGTTGGAGCAGATCCTGGTGCCCAGATCAGACATGACAGCTCCCACCCCCATTCCAGCCACTCAGTTTTCCCACCTACCCTGCCAACTTCCACACCAAAACACGGATCTGAATTCATGGAGGGGAATGACGTGAGCCTCACCAGCCTCACCATGAAGAGACACATTGTGCTGAACTCCCTCCTGGCTGGGAGATATTTTTCTCCTGGCGTTTGGGAGGGTTATTAATACAGAGGAAAATTAAACAGAAAATAAACCGTCAGTGCTGGACCAGCAGCACATGTTGCTCCAGGAAACTTCAAAATCCCGTCCACGGGGACTTCAGCCCAGCAGTGGTTGACACTGCTCTGTTAAATGGGGTTGTATTTATTTTTAATAAGAATTCTTCTATTACATCTGCAGTGATTGGCGGTTGCAGAGAGAGGAAAGTAAAAAAAAAGAGATATTTAACCTGGAAAGGCAGGCAGGCAAATCCACTGTTTTCCTAATCCTTGTCAAAATAATCCTAAAAACAAGGAAAAGCTTGTCTTCCCAGCAGTGAGGGATCCACCAGTGCTTTGGCTCAGTACAGCAGTGGAGAAAACTCCACACACTGACCTGCCTTTGATAATGTGGTAAAACCATATTTATGGTATTAGCTCAGCTAATCCCTCATAAATGCAGTTTTGTTGCACTGTGTTTGGATTCAGAAAAAAACTGAGCATAAAAAGCAGAACAAAAAGCAGAGGTGAGGATATTTAGATCCCAACAAGGAGAGGCTGGGAGGGCAGGAGATGGAAAATACTAAAATCCAGCAATTGGTTTGAAACTCTGCTGAGCCCAGGGAAGAACTTTATGGTTCATGAAGGCAGTTGAGAGAAGGTTCCAGGGTTGCTGCTTTTACACATGGCTTTGCATTTAATGCTCAACTCATACCACAACAGAACAAGAGAAAAGGGTGTGACGACTTTTGGTTGGCCCCACATCCCACCAGAAATATGTTCAGATGTGGCTGTTGCACGTTATGAGGTGTTTCCTTGTCTCTTCATGGCAAACTTGGAAGAGGAAACCCAGCAATGCTCAGCAGCTGCTGCTGATTAGAAGGAATTCAACAACTTGGCTGATGGACCAGACACCCCTGGATATCTCCAGTCCCTCTCTCTAAGTCTCCAACACTTCCTGCACTTTGCCAACCCGTGCTTCCCCTGTAGGGAAATTCATAGCCAGGGCTGCTCCTTCCCATTTCACTGTAAAGAGCCTGACATCATCCAGCCCTTCCACAGCCACATGGAGAACAGAAATCTCTTCTGCAGGCAGGGTTGGACATGTGTCAATCCCCACGAGACCTCATTGCAGACAGTGCTTTTCTCTCAGCCTTGCAGCAACAGATTCTCCTCCTTTAACTTGACTTGATGTGATTACTTTTTCCCAGGTGCACTCCTCTGTCTTTTCCTCTCTCTTTCTCATTCTGGATTGCTGTGAGGCTGTCAGAGTCACCTTGCTCTGGAGCAGGGATGGCCCAGCTGTCTGGAGAGGGCAGCTCTGCAATACCAGGAATTGTGGGGGATTATCATATGAGAAGTTGATTTCTTCCCTTTAATTGCAAAAGGGGGATCAGCCCCTACTTCCACCTCTCCCCACAGGGCCAGTTCTTCATGGGTACTATGTATTTCCATAACACATTGCACAGGGACACCATGAATCAGTTAGGCCCCCCAAAAATCCAGACCCTACAGATTTTAATGCAAAATAGTGTGCTGGATGGCTGAAGAGATCCTGAGGTGCTCGTTGTTGCAACTGTGGAGGTGTAGGATTACACATGACAACCCAAGACTCTCAGGCACATGGTGTGAAATTTGGGGTGTCCCGTGCAGGGTTAAGAGTTGGAATCAATGATGCTTGTGGGTTCTTTCCAACTTGGCATAACCTGTGATTCTGTAACCAGCATTGCTTGAGATTCACTGTGAGGACAAGCCCCTCTCCCAGCTCCTTTTCCACATCCCTTCTGAGGAGCAACAGCCTGGTGAGCTCAGACTCACCAGATGGAGAGACCTTCAGGCGAGCAAGCATGGTTGGTTTTAACATCATGAACAACCCCATAGAAATCCTGGGCCCAGATCCTGCATCTGCTCTGGTAGCCTGATAGTGCCTGCAGCCAACATCCACAGGGTTCCCTGCGTGTGGGGAGTCCCGGCGTGACACTGATACCGAGGGTGGTGAGAGAAAGCAGGGCTTGGCCAGGGAAATCAAACTATTCCCTTAAGAGCACCTTGGGACGTGCTCTGGTAGCCCTGGAGCTGATTTAAGCGGCACACAAGGCCACCAACCAACGTCAAGGCCATAAAACAGGGCTTCCTCTGGCAGAAGCTGAGTTAGTGCTGGTGACACAGAGTGGGGCTCGGGAAGGCTGAAACCCCGCTGTGCTCTGCACCCCACATCACATCGGCCCTCAAAAACCACACCTGCAGTGGGAATAGGTGGTAAGCACCTGAGCCACCACTACCCCCGACATTTTCATGCTCTGTGGATACATTTTCTAGTCCACTGCAGCAGGGCAAGAAAGTCCCAGGAGCTCCAGGCCTGGCATCCTTCCAGCTCTCTGGGAGACCTGTCGCGAAGGGAGAGTGATGGGGTTGCTGTGGATGCAGGAGTGTGGCAGGATCTTTGATGTGCTATCTTTAGAAGGAACACATGCTATGCTCAATTCCTTCTGCTCTATTTACCTCATGAAAACCTTCCTGGTGCACGCTCGAGGGGTGTGGAGGGAGGAGGGAACTCCTCATGTCCCATGCCCAGTGCTAACAGGTCCACTCAATGAGCACCAAGCAGGGGGGCAGTTAAGCTTTGACATCAAATGTATCTCCTCCTGCTGAGGTGTTTGGTGTCACTTAATCAAGAGGCAAAAGAGAATGTCGCTCCCGTGGGGCCTGGAATGAGGCCACCTCCTGCACAGCCACCCTCATCATCCATGGCCAGGTACAGGAAGGCAACACGTATCATGGAATCATAGAATGGTTTTTGTTGGGAGGGACATAAAAATTCCTTCTGTTTTACCCCCTGCCATGAGCAGAGACACCTTCCACTAGCCCAGGTTGATCCAAGCCCTGTCCAACCTGCCCTTGAACACTTCCAGGGATGGGGCAGACACAGCTTTCTGGGCAACCTGTGCCAGGGCCTCACCACCCTCACAGATGTCAGTTTGAAGGCATTCCCCCTTGTCTTGTCACTCTGGGTCTTTGTTTATTAGTCTCTCTCCTTGTTTATTTTCAGCTCCTTCAAGTACTGGAAGGCCTTAATTCGGTCACCCTGAAGCCTTTTCTTGTCCAGGCTGAATATATTGGATCCATTCTCAAAATCATGGTCCATCACAGACTCATCCAAGTCTAGGAGCTTCCATTCTTTTCTATACTTACATAGGTCAACCTTTTTGTAATATCTACACAAGTGTTCCCTATGATATCTATGGGGTCAGTGCATCACAGAAATACCCAGAAAATCATCTCTTCTGCTTGGGGTGGGTGCTATTAAGGGAGGTCCTTCCAGAAATTTTCTCTATTCTTGGTACAGATGAATTTCAACACTCTTGATCTGGTGTCCAACCTCATCTTCCTAGTGCAGTGTTTTCACTGACAGACACTCGATTATAGTACGAGAAAAGGGGTTTGCCTGCCTAGCAGAGTGTGCAGGAAAGTGCTGATGATTTTTGTGGGATTTGGGTGTGATCTCAGTCTTCTACCTCATGGTCCTCCTGAGACTTAGTCATAGAATAGCCGGGTGTGTTAACCCCTAAGGGGTCAATGCAACAGAGAAACTCTGAGCCCAGACCAGCCAAGGTGGCATCACCATTTCCCCTTGATCTCAGGAATTTCCACACTTAATGGGAATCTGACACCAAACCCCATGTCAGGTAGCCCTGGAGCTGATTTAATGGTAAGGATTTGCTCTACATGGGAATGGCAATGGGGCAAAAAAATTCCTTGCTGGGCAACAAACTAAACCTTACTGCAGCAACAAATGAGAAACAGGAGTGAAGAGACACCCAGGTTGTCCCCAGACACCCCCATCTCTGAAAGTCTTCTCAGTCTGTCCCCACCTCTAGGGGTTACAATCCAGCCAAACCACGTGAACTAGAAAGAAAAATGTTTGGCGAGGAGTCAGAGGCTTCTCTTCTGGACTGCCAAACCTCATCAGAGCTGCCTGTGGGCAAAACAGGGCTCTGCCACCTCTGTGCAGCGCTGAGCACAGCCACCAACCACCCCCCCTGTGCCCCAGGGCAGAAGGAAAACACGCTGCCAGCCAAGGCGAGGAGAAACTGCCTGGAACAGCTGGCTCCTGGGAGCCAGGAGGCTCTCCCAAGGCAGGATTTTGATCAACAACGATTCTCTGTATTAAAAAATCTACCTCTGTATTAAAAAATTTACCCTTAAATAGAGAGATGGGGTGTTGATTGTCTTTAGTGAATTTTGGCACAGCCGATCCTACACTGGTGTGTGATTTATGAGAGGGAAGACAAGACTGTCACCCATAATAACCTTGCCTGTTTTGTGCTGATGGTCACCCAAGGCAGGAGTGAGAGTCACCCTGACTGGTGAGACAGCTCCAATGATTCCAGGCCATTGCATCAGCACAGGGGAGGCAATCACAGAGCTTATTGCAGCGAGAGTTGATCAGTGGAGTCTAAATTCTTCCTCTGCAAGACACTGCTCCTTGTGAGGTGCCAACTCCTGTTTTTTTCAGGGTTAAGCAAAGGGAAATGGGGATCCCACACAAGGATCTCAGCTGCCTCACTGCATCGGTCCTCAGTGCTGGCAAAGAAGGAATTTCTCTTCTGTGCTCCCCAAAGGAGTGCAGGGTGTTGGGTGGTTCTCCTACTCTCTGGGCATCTGGAGTACAAGTCTGATACACCCCATTTCTCACGTGGAGCAGTGGTGAGAAGCACAAGGTTCTTTGCAGATATTTTCTTTTCCATGAGGAAGGAGAACAAACCAGCTCCAACAGGCCCCAGCAGCACGAATCCAGCAGAGCCACTGACTGGCCAGGCAGGCAACTAACACATTGTCACAGAAGCAGAATAGCCCTAGTAAACACCACAGGCAGGCTCTGGCTTCTTCCCTTTCCTTTGGGAGCCAAAGGAAGACAGAGGAAAGAGCCACTCTACCATTGGCGAAGGGTCCAATTCCACTTGGATCTCATCCTAATGCACCCTGGGTGCCAAACTGCAGGGGATGTTGGATGGCAGTAGTCAGGCAGCCAGGGCTAGAGGAAAGGCAAGGCACTTTCCTGTTCCTCTGCTTTGCCAGGGGATGTTAGAAAAGGTCACTTCATCCTCCCAAAATGTCCAGATAAGCCTCCAGCGAAGTGGGGTTGCCCTAATATTTCTTGCAGCTCCCTCCGCCCACCACCAGAAATCCAAAGGGATAAAAATCAAAGTCTGGATGAAGGAAGAGAGGAAATGTTTCTTGAAGCATTTCTACTGAAAATTATTTAGGGAGTTTGGGTTTCAAGTCTTTCCTGGCATTGAGGAAATCTGCAAATCTGGGGCCATGCAGTGCTGGTTGACCCTGTCTTTGTGGAAGGCACCTTGACCCACTTCAATTGTTGGCCTTAATGCCACATCCAGCTCCAGCTGATACAGAAATCCAGGCTGGGAATGGGATTCCAAACTGTGATTTTCAATCTCTGCAGCAATAAAGAGATTTTTGATGGCCTCACAGCACATGAGAACAATTTGGAGGCAACATCAGGAGCAGGATGTTGCTCCAGGTTCTCACTCTGACCCTTTGCACATTGGCAACAATAACAGTCAAAGAATTAAGAGCCAGAAAGGGAAGTGTGAAACCCCAGAGACAGGGGAGGTCACAACTCACAGCTGTTTTTTCAGGTGGCACAGCAGTGGGTTTGGCTCCTTCTGCCCAGTAATCCGTTTGAACTTGCCTGAACCACGAAGGAAGAATTAAACAGGGGGGAGGGAGATGCTTCATTAAATATTCAAAGGGAAAAGCATTTCTTTCCCTCATAAATAACCAGAGTGTGTTCCTCCTCAATTTATATGCATCACTACTAACTTCCCTAATGAAGCCAAGCTCTGTCCCTAATGCTTTCTGTCAGCTACAAGCACCAGCGCTCTCAGATTATTTTTCAGACAGGTTTTTCCTGATTTTCCTCCCAAGGTGATGGTTCCCAGCTTGTGTCTGCCCTGAAAAACACAAGCAGAGCCACAATCTGTAAGAAAGAGCATCATGTTGGAGACACAATAATGCTGTACCAGGCCGTGCCACCCAGCTCTGGTGGGCTGGGGTTTTTCCTTAATTAGAAATATAAGGAATTCCTCTTGCTTGCCTATATTTGGCCCGGGATATTTAAAGACTGGAAAAGAGGAAAGCATACAAGTCTCCCTGCAGAAGAAGGCTGATACCAGGAAATATATAGATGGGGGAGGGGGGGCAACATGTACCTCGTGTTTCCCATTTTGCCAGTCCATAGGTGGGTGATTGGAGGATGATGATGATGAAGTCCAAACCCAGGTGCAGTGAAAATCAAGCTCAAGGCAGAGCTGAGCTCCACCTTGCACCACGAGAGATATTGCAGGGGAGGTTCTTGGGATACACCAGGGGCACAAGACCTGGATGAAAATGGATTATGCAGATTACAGGGTTATTTTCTGATAAGGAGCCTGTAAGAAAGACGGAAGGAAGGTTTTTACAGGGATATGTAGTGATAGAAAAAGGGAAAATGGCTTCAAATTAAAAGAAAGTTGGTCTAGGTTAGATGTTAGGAAGAAATCTTTCCCTGTGAGGGTGGGGAGGCCCTGGCACAGGTTGCCCAGAGAAGCTGTGGCTGCCCCTGGATCCCTGGAAGTGTCCAAGGCCAGGTTGGACAGGGCTTGGAGCAACCTGGGCTAGTGGAAGGTGTCCCTGCCCATGGCAGGGGGTGGGACAAGATGAGCTTTAAGGTCCTTTCCAACCCAAACCATTCTGGGATTCTGTGATTCAATGATTCTCTGTTTCTGGTTCAGCAGAGACTCCATGCCTCACCAGAGGTCCTTCAGCAAGGTCTGTGGGCGGTGGCTTGATGGAATTCTCACTCTGCGTTTTCCCCATCAGCTCCACTGTCTCTCCCGGAGTCCTCTCTGACTGCCTGGACCTGTCCTTTCACAAAAGGCCAGTTCACTGCACTTGCTGCCCATGGCAGCTCTTCCCCTCCCCGTTCCCCATCCAGCCCCCTCCTCGTCTCTCACATCTCGAGCTCCGTCTGTCACCACCTGACTTCAATCACTGTCACCCCCAGCTCGTGCTGTTGGGCTGGGCTGTGAAACCTCGCAGCAGGATGCAGACGTGTGTGAGCACTGACCTGTCCCTCCTGCTGGGACAGTCACCTCCAGGCAGCCAGGAAAATAACTCCTGCCAGAGCAAGAGCTGGGCTGTCAAAGTTTTTAATCCTTGGAGATCACAGCTACTCCATGCAGGATCACTGATGTCTCCTTAATCCACCCCGAAACCTCCGTGAGAGCGACGCACAGGGAAAACTGCAGCATCCATCCTGCTGGTGCAAACTCCTGCTGCTTTGGCCACAGGGAGTTGGCTTTGGCAGGGATCATGGCAGTTGGCTGTGCCCAACATCACCATGGGCACTGCTCTCCCCTTCCACTGCTGCTCTGCCCACCCTTTCCAGCAGCCCCAAAAGCGGTTAAGGGGGGATTTTAATAGCACCTTGCTGGCCTGTCTCTGTGCCCAACTGCAGGCAAGGGGCAGAGAGCCAAATACCAGCACCAGTGTTCTTCCAAAGGGGAAACTGGTGTATTCAAAAAGCTGATAATGGACACCATGCAGCCTGAAACCCATGAGCAACTTCTGAAATCGCCCTGCTGGTGCCATCCACATCCTTCTCCTCTCTCAAATCCAGCCCCAGGGAGGAGAGTAACAAAAGGGGAGCTGAGGAGTGCAGGAGTCAGCCCAGCTCACAGCACACTATCCAGCAGCTCTGGAGATGAATATTTCAGTGCAGAGAAAAGAAGGCTCTGGGGAGGTCTCGTTGTGCCCTTCCAGTACCTTAAGGGGGCTTATGAAAAGGAGAGAGAGAGACTTTTTGTGTGGGCAGATAGTGACAGGACACTTTAAACACGGAGGTTTAAAGTCAAAGCAGGCAGGGTTAGATGGGATACTGGGAAGAAATTCTTCCCTGTGAGGGTGGGGAGGCCCTGGCACAGGTTGCCCAGAGAAGCTGTGGCTGCTCCATCCCTGGAAGTGTCCAAGGCCAGGTTGGACAGGGCTTGGGGCAACCTGGGCTAGTGGAAGGTGTCCCTGCTCATGGCAGAGGGTGAAAGGAGATGAGCTTAAAGGTCCCTTCCAACCCTAATCATTCTATGATTTAACCCCTCTAAATCAGGCTTTCATAGCCACAGACTGAGGCATAAGCCTAATTCTTACTGACACTTCACACTACACAGTGTTTACAACACCCCAGAGCCAAAGACTGTACAAAAAAACAAAAAAATAAGCCCTGGTTTAAAACTGCCTTACACAGGTTCCACTTAGGATGACCTAGAACTGATGGATCACAAATTTTCTTTCACCAGCCTGGCTGAAACCTCATATCTGCTTGAGAGAGCAGGCGATGCTCCACAGGAGGAGAGCCAAGAGCAATACCTCTAATCCTGCTTTAACAAATATGAGTCACCCATTTATTTTCACTGGTATGTTCATGGTTATTTTAAGCTTTGTCTAAAGAATGCCAGCTACTGTATAATAACTGCAATGAAAGATGGCAGTGTTTTTATTTTGCTTTACAACTGAAGATGTATTTTTAGCTCCTTTTTAAAAAAAAAAAAAACCAAACCAAACCAAAACTGGTCTGTAAATTATTTTAAAGACTTTGGCACTGATTTCCTAAAGCAGATCCACATGAGCAAGTTCCACTCCCAGGCCAGAGTCCATATGAGGGAAATTTTTGGCCCAGGTGCCACCAGCTCTGTGCTTCCCTGGGCAGATCTCACCTCACAGGTGAGAGTTCAAGCGATAAGACTGTTCTTCACAGAATCTTTAGTTCAAGCCTTAGTCCAAACAGCCCTGCTGTGTTCCCACAGGCTCTTCCCAGCACTCAAGAGCTGGGTAAGATTAGGTAAGATTACTTCTTGGCCTGCTGGATCCATCCTTGCTCTGCTCCCTCCTGTGCTGGTTTGGAACCCAGGGCACCCAGGGCTGTCCTGCAGGGTTACACCAGCAGCTCTTTTCAGGAATTCATCTGTTCCACAGTTCTCCATCTGCTCCCACAGGCAGTGGCTGGCTCTTGGCTGGGGGTTACAGGGTGTGATTCAGGACTCCTGGAGGCATATCAATGGAGGGGAGCATAAATACCCAGAGCCTGAGGCTGTCCTCCCTCCTTTAGGAATGGGGAAAAAGGAAAGCAACATGGAATATGCATCCCAGCCCTAGAGGAGCTTGGTACTGAGCAGTCAGAGCCCAGGGTTCAATCAGGTTGTTAGGGAAAGAGCAGGAATGAAAGATCAGCACTTTCAGCTTCCATGGCAAGACTCAAAGACTCACTTGACTCCAGGCACTGGGAGAAGGGCTACCGGGGTCTCAGCTGTGGAAAAGGACAAGCCAGACTGCTGGCTGCTCTTTGGAATGTCTCCAAACCCCCTGAACACCGACTCGAGCTGGACAAGCAGGGGTTAAGTGCCTGTTCACGTGGGTGACAACTTCAGTTTCACACATACAAATCCCCCTTACAGATCCCTTGGAGCTGGCAAACACAGAGCTCCCCAGGGCCGTGGCTGGTCACTCTGGCGTGGCCACAGCAGGGTTTTCCCTAGGCCAGGCCTAAGCAAAGCAAAGAGTGGCCACCCCAAGAGCTGCATTGAAGACTCGAGGCAATGGGGCTCCCTGGTCACCAGTGAGCATGTCTGGTGGTGGCTGGTGGTTTGCATCCACCAGGGAGAAATCCCTTCTCCATCTGTCACACCAATTCCCAGTGCATTGGTGTAAACCTCAGTTCCCGTTTGGGAAACAGGAGGAGCAGTGTCTTAGGGACAAGGGGGGGCTGTCCTTTACCTGAGCTGGGGAATAATTAACATACAAGTACATCCAGCCATCCCTTCCCCAGCCTCCAACAACCCTGAGTAAATTCCATCCCGTTGCTGCATTTCTCCTTCCCACTTTCCCCATTCTTTTAGCTGGAATAAATCCCCTTTGCTTTCCCCAGGAGACAGAGGAATGAGGAAGGCTTGTGACTCCGCTCGTAAGAAGTGCACACAGAGGCAGGGATGTTCTCTTGGTTTTGCTTTCTACTCCATGTTTACTCCAAATCTCCTGGCGAATCCACAAATCACATCTGCCTTCAAGCAGCCCAGAGCTTCCCTAAGAAGTTTCCATCAGAAAGTCACTGTCAGGCTCCCAGAGCCACTCGCTTTTCTGCAGCCGTGTTCTGCCCCCTTGTGAAGCTCTGCAGAAGTCGACGGCTGTAGCTCTGCAGAATTACACAACCACATCTCTGCTGAGCCACACTCCCTTATTTCCCCGGCAGAGACATGAGGAGATGGTGACTGTCCCCAGCTCACACCACTAAGCATTTCCTGAGTGCGAAAAATGGGCTTTAGTGGCCACCACCTCTCCCAAAAACGTGCATTGCTCCAAGATCTGCAACAACCCCCACTGGACTCAACCCTGTTTTGGCTGCAATCAACCACTTTGTAAAGCCCTGGGCCAGGAGATTCCCTCTTATGCTGCTGACCTTGGCAGAGAAAAAGCTCTTGCTCTCTCCATCCAGCCCAGCACTTCCCCAGGATCCTGTGGGAATAAAGGCTGAACAATCTGTGGATTATAAAAGCCCAAGCATATCTGCAGGCTCTTCCTACCAACAGCTCCTCAGTTGCACCAGCCAGTGTGTTGCAGGTTTCATCCCTCCCTCCCCTTTTCCTGATATTTTGGGAATTACCTCTGTGGGAAACTGGGATTTGGTGGTTTATCCCAGAGACAGGGCAGGGAAAGGACAGGGATGCAATAAGCAGTCTGTGGCTCAGCATGTTCCTGCCCACTGACAGAAACAGTTATTTGTCCAGAAGGAGCAGAACCTTTGGCATTGATCCACGTTTGGTGCCAGCACAGACCGTACCAGCATAGCCCAAATTTCCACATTGATGCCATGTCTCCCCCCTTGACTCCACATAAGCCCAGGTGGGATGTGGCTGATGCAGACACTGAGACAGAGCAGGGACAGAAAGGGAAGTGCTGCCTTGCTGTGTGTGTTTCCCTCCGAGAACAGCCCCTCCACTCGAACCCACCCTCTGATCAAAAAGTCATCCTCTTGTCCAGGGAAAGCAGCAAATCTGGCACCAACCCAGCCAAAACAACCAGGTACCTCCATAAATCCATAGCTGCAAATGCCCTGTGCTTAAAACCTGCAGTGCTGCCCCTCCACAACAGCAAAACAGAGGCACAAAAGGGGCTGGGTCTCAAAATCCCCCAACCCCGTCAGAGACTAACTAGAAGATTCACCCACACACTCTGGCTACAAAAGCCTCCCCGGGTCTAAGTCCACTCAGCAAAATGTCAGTGAAAGATGCCAAAGGCTCCCTGGGGTCCCTTTTGTCTTGCCCAGCCATGGAATCCTTTCATACAGATTGTTACTGGCCCCATCAGTTATTGACCCAGGCAGGATGACAGGATACAGCCCGCTGGCTTTTAAATTCCAGGGACATAAGGACAAAAAAACTCCATTTGTTCTCCTCCAGTCAGAGCCAGTGCAGGACTACTCCTTAAATGCAGCTTTTATTCTGCATTGTGTGATTACACCCAACAGCACAATCCCAACACAACAAGCCTCTTCCCTTCCAAGAGCTGCTTTTCAGCGCCCGGGCTCCAAACGCCGCAGGAGTTGCCAGGGAGCTGCTTGTAGGGTCACCGGATCCATCCCTAAAAGCTGACAACCAGTGTGATCCAGCGTGTCCAGAGCCACATGCCAGATGGCACAGCCACTCTGCTCCACTCCCAGACAGACACTCAGTGACTGGCAGCCCAATCCACTCTGACAGGAGTGAGACAGGAGGAAGGTCAAACCATCTGTTTGCCAAGAGCTCAGTGCCATATTTAAGGACAAGAACCCTGGGAAGCAGATCTCAGATTTCCCCATTACACAAATCTTGCTTCTGCCCAGTCTCTGTGAGCCTCAATTCACCCTCAATTTAAACCTTAAGGTAGGAAAATGGGGGATTTGCCCTCAGTTCAAACCCATAAATGTTTTCCCCTTCCATTCAAACCAGAAATAAGTGGTACATAGGAATTCCTGTCCATTTAAACTCTTAAAATCATGGAAAAGGTAGATTTTCCTTCATTTGAGACACTTAAAATCTCCAGTGAAGGGAGATGCCCCAAAATTTAAACACAGAAAATAACAAAAAAAGGAGATTTTTCACCAATTTAAACCCCTTTTCCCCTCGCCCCTCCCTCTTTTTTTTTCAGGGGTCAGTGGGAGGCTCTTGGGAAGAACTGGGAAAATTAAATCAAAAGGGGAAAGGAAAAAGACCTTCCCTGCATGCCTGCTCTGCCTCACCTGCAGAAAGCACCCAACACCTACAAGGAGCAGCAGGACAGTTATCCTCAAATTGATGCTCCCTCTTTGCCACAAGACAGAATCAGACCCAGAACAGGGGAAAAAAAGACTCCATTATTTTTTACAATTTAAGTTTCTGAAGCTCTTATTGGTAAAATATTTTGAATATTCTCAAATATTCCATTGACAGCAGTTTCCATCCCTTCCCAGTGCTGAGCAGCTGGTGCCTTTCATCCCAAGCAGCTGCATTCCATGAGACTGTAATCTCATGCCAATTATTGCCAAGAGTTTTGCGAGCCCTGAGACACATGGGCACACATACCCAAGTTTATTAATTCCTCCTGCAATAAAGGAGACCTTTATTTTTCCTTGAAACCCTTGCACTTCTACACACCTAAACTGAGTGCCCTGGTTTAACTCCCAGCTCATGCTGCTTTGAACTGGAGAGCTGGACAATACAACCTCCTTCTGAGCTCTCT